TTTCTTTTACAATTCTTTTTCCCTTTTGCTGTAATAAAACATGTTCCTTTTCCTTCTTTCTTTTGCTGATTCCTTGTTTACTTTCCCTATAAATGTTTCTGCTGTACAATTGGTGAGCCTTGTTTTACACCCTTGAAATGTGCATGACTGGATTGGAACAGGAAAAAGCTAGGGTGTTTTACAAGAATGAATCGAGTTCTGCTTCTTTTATGACCCACAACTCCAGAATAATGAAGATCCTTGTGGCTATTTCACTATTCAAGTTTTACAACAGAAGGTCGATTTAGTTATGCAGGCTTTGAAACTGCTGGATATGATCTGGTAAATGTTAAACTGCCAATAATGATTGAGAGGGTGCTTACTTGTTTTGAACCAATTGAGTTCTCGGTTGCGGTTCATGCTACTTTTCTGGTTAAACTGCTTGAGCAAATTTGCGGTTCAAGTTGAGGAGAATTTGCATCCTAACATTCTAGTAGTGTTTTGATATTTGTTTTTAAATTTGTTTTTAAATTTGTGTTGATGTGACACTATTGCAATCAACAATGTTTTAGAATTATAACAATGAACTGGAACCACCATTTTCAGGATAATTACGAATTGTTAAGTAGGAAGGAATTCATCAAGGCAAAATGGGAGAAAGATGATCTTATTGGAGCTAATCAAGTGCTCAATGAAGTGCCTTGACTGTAGTGCCTTGCAATTTTATTTAGCAATAGTTAGCAATTCTAGCAATTTTATGGCAAATCATTACTTAGCAATTTTATTTATATCTATGTTGTTTTATTGATGTTTTAGGTTGTGTGATTCTGTTGGAGTTGGCAAAGAGTCGTGATTTATCGTCTTTTCAACTTCGTAGTTGTGATTAGTTGCAAGTAGAAATATTGTCGTAGTATAGTTATATTGTAGCATGTTGTAAAAAGTTATTGGTATTGACTTTTTGAATATTGTGTACTACAATTTAAATAATAAATTTATAAATGAAAATGTTGATTGATTTGGTTATTTATCTTTATTTGTTGATTTTATATTTTAATAATCACACAATTATTTATAAGCTAATTAATATAATATATACCGGTTGTTTATGTATGTATATATATAATGATACCAAGGTATCATGTACTTTTATGTTGCTTATGTGTCAAAAAAGTTTTATGATACTATAACTCATAATTTTGTAAGATATTATAATGTCATTATTTATTGACATTAATATATTTTTGTACCAGTGACACTAAATTTAGTGTCACTTGCCTCGCTTTTCTGTGACACTTACGAAGTGTCATTAAATCGTTTAGTGACACTAATTTAATGTCACTATAAGCCATTTTTTTTTACTAGTGTTAACATGTTTACCTTAGACTAACCTGTGAACAAATGACTTTGATATGTTCATGCCAAAGCCTATGGCTTTGATGTTCTTTCTTTGATCCAGGGTGATACCTTTTATCTGTTCTACGTCAACATGAACTCTTTTTCTACCCACATTTCCTTTGTATTGGCTGTGCGCATTAATAGGTAGTCCCTCATTCATTTGTGTTTTAGCTCTGGCCCACAATTTATTTACCGAACGTCTCGACACTTGAACTGCAACACTGTTTTCCCCACTATGCCTCTCTGAAGTTTCCGATCCCAATAATTTGCTAGCAGCGTTTCAACCAAAGTGCTCTTTTTGTGAATTGGTCAGTTTGCCCCATGGCCTTTTTTGGTGCGGATGACTGCTTGCATTGTTTCTGTTTTAGGTGTGGCAGGGGCATCTTCAAAGTCATTTTCAGGTTGTGGAGCACTTCTAATTTAGAGCAGACAATGACATTTAAATGTGTACTTGTTGGTTGGGATGGAACCAAAGAGAGCTCTATGAATGTGTAAATGAATTGTGGGCGGGGGGCGGGGGTAGTTGTGCACATTTATGCATAGGAAATAGAGGGAACTTTAAGTTTCATGTAAAACTAATCCCTCCAAATTAAAAAAGAGAGTGTGTAGATGCATGGTAGCCATTTCATGGATTTGTAATTGTTAACTATATAGACCATTTTTACACCGTAGACTTGTCAACTCACCTTTCACTTTCTTTGTTGTGGAAGAAATTTATACTCTTTATTCAACTTTTTTTCACATCATGTGGGGGTATTTTTGCAAAACCATTAACCTTATAACTTTTTGTTAAAAATGTGTGAAAATCAACTCATGAACTTATTTTTGGGACGGAGAGGGTATTATATAATGTTATAACACATTAAGAAAAATTTCAATATTTTTTACAATGAAAATTACAAGGGGTTTTGACATGAATATTACTAAAAAATTGACAATAGACAAAAAAGAGACCTCGCTTTTTTGAGACTAATTAACACTCGCTTCTCTGAATTACCCTTAAGGCTCTTAAACCGCTTCTCAATTAGAATCCTACAACTCTGTTGACTGACGGTGACTCCATCCATACCTGAGCATGACTCAATTCGACATCCGCATAACTTTATGTAGTAACATTGCACTACGTACCAGTGGTTACATATAGAGCCGGCAAAACGGGCCGAAACCCGCGGGTTGGCCCGTTTCAACCCACTTATAAGTGGGTTAGGGCTATCATTTTCAGGCCCGATTGTTTTGCGGGCTCAGTGGGTCAACCCTAACGGGTTGCGGGTTTAGCAGGCCAACCCGTACGGGTTGCGGGCCAACCCGCGGGCTGAGGACAAATATAATTTATTCTATGTATTTTTAATTATATTATTTCTATATAAGACAATTATATCTTCTATTATACTCTCTCTTTACTTCTAGTTCTTTCCTCACTTCTAATACTAATGTATTTTGTTCATGATATCCAAATTAGACTAAATAAATGTATTTTTAATGTATTCGTTGCTATATTGTTTTATAACATAAGGACTTCTATGCTGTTTTATTCATGATATCCAAATCAAGCTAAATAAATGAGAAATTAGGTATTTGCGGTATTTCAGCTTAAGTATACCCACAATAGTACATTAAAGCTTTTAAGTATTTCATCTTTTAACTTTTTAAGTATACCACTTACCCACGATGATACATTCAAACATACAACCAAACGATTTTCAAGCACTAATTTTTTCCTTTTTAATTGTGTTTGGATTTTAATTTAGATATTTAATTGCTATTACAATTGTGTTTAGATTTTAATTTAGATATTTAATTGTTTTTTTGTTTTGACATTTATGGCCCGCGGGCTGGCCCGCATAACCCGTGGGTTAGGTGGGTCGGGTTAGGGTCATAAAAATTCTGGCCCGATAGTAAGCGGGTTGGCCCGCCCCGACTCGTGAAACTCATAACCCGCCGCGGGTCGGGGCGGGTCGGGGCGGGTTGGCCTGTTTGACAGCTCTACTTACATAAGATCACTCTCTACCCATAATTGCTTCTTTTGATTTTATTATGATATACAGAGTATTATTTATCAAGATAGATATTTGAATATGAAAACATTGGGGTCTTAATTAAATATTTAAATTATTATACTAAAATTTGTGTGAAACCACCGTTCCAATTGTTAATGTTTCATTGATCAAGGTTCTAGTTACTAACGCCTCAGTGACCAGCGTTCCAGTTACTGACGCTCCAGTGACCACCGTTCCAGTTACTAACGCTCCAGTGACCACCGTTCCAGTTACTAACGCTCCAGTGACTACAATCCTGGTTACTACCACTTCGGTAACTGTCGTCCCAGTTACTATGGTTCAAATGATCCCCGCCTCAATTACTATCGCTCCAGTGACCTTCGTCTCAATTACTACTGTCTCAATTATCACTGTCTCAGTTACTTCCGCGCCAGTGACAATGTCTCAGTGACCACCGCACCAGTGACCAACTCACAGTGACTAAGACGGGAGTGACCTATCTAACACCGGCATTCACGAGAGTACTGGCGGTAGGCAGTTTAACGGGCCAAACCAACACCGCCTACATCGCTACCCTACTGCCTTGACACTGCAATGACCAACACCAATGGGCGAGACTCCAGTGACACACTTGCACCATAGTAATACCTCTCAATGACATACCACCACCCTTCAATTCGCATCATTTTAACCAACCCCTTCCCCGCCTCACACTACCCCCACAAAACGCCACTACCCAAGCTATGACACCATCTGGCATCAACCGCCCATGAACCAACGGCCAAACCCAGAGCTAGATCCTTCTTAACCCCTGTCACTGCCCGATCAATGATAAAACTCACCACCTGGAATTGAAATCAGCTTAACAATGAGCCTAACTCCAAACCTCCAAACCAGGATGAAGAAATCATTCAAAAGCGAGACTCAATTGCATAAGAGAGAAGAAGGTGAATAAAAAGTGGAAGAAGATGGTGCGGGCGGGAGGGGGAGAAAGAGACGAAATCTGAATCGCCATAGAGGAAATTGGTGCTTTCAACACTTGACGATAAGGAACGAGGAGAAACACAGGCGACTCGGCAAACCACAGTCCTTGGAACGAATTGTGTCGCTGTTGCCGGAATCGAAGATGAGTGTTGGTAAGCTGGGTTGAAGATTTGAAGTCCGCTCCTTGAAAACCTCTGTCTTCGCCATTGCAGGAGCAAAAGCGCCATCTACATCTCATGAACAGATCTAGGTTGCCTTGGGCCTTTGGTTGTGGCCATCGCCGGAATCTAGCTGGGTTGCCTTGGCCGCAGGGTTGGAGTCAATCGAAGACCTTCACGGCCTCACACCTGGAAGGGAATGAAGAGAAGAATTCTATCGGGGTAGTTCAGACATATTACACATACGTAGGTCACATATTTGTCCAAAATAGGAAGTTGCCTCATTTTTGTCAATAGAGAAGCTGTAGCTATTATTGGCGTCATTTTTTTAAGGAAAATGCTATGTATACATTGTTTGTACACAACTTGTACATGCTATAAATACCTCATTATTTTTACCATTTCATTTTTGTTTTTTACCTCTCTCTCTCTCTCTCTCTCTCTCTCTCTCTCTCTCTCTCTCTCTCTCTCTCCCTCTCCCTCTCCTATTTCTTCTCTGCACCTTTCTCGTAGCTTCTCTCCACCAGCCCACTTTCTCCTTTCTTTCTTCTTCCTCATTTTCATTGCAATCCTCCTCCATATTTAATTGTCACTAGCCATTTTATTTATCACTATGGTGTTCACGAATGAATAGGGAGTGCCACAGATCTGGAAAACATCGCCGCCTGGAGCCGCCGCCGCCCGGATGCTGCCACGGCCTGGAAAATTACAGGTTCGACCACCGCGAGCATTTTTGACATGTAGGATCGATTTAGGACTCAGTGAATTGCTGCAGACCCACTGCCACCGTGGAATTCATTCCCCCTTCATCTTCCTTCACTCCAACCTCATTAACCCTAAATTAGATGCTAATTTGCCCCTTTTTGTTTAAGGATTAGGGTTGTAACTCTATTTTTTCCTTTTAAATTTTATGTTTTATTGATATTTTAATGTTGTTTGTCTGACACTTTTGTTTCTATATCATTTGAGAATATCATTATTTTTGTTACATACCCTTTAAAGTTTTGAATTTTTGGGAACAAATGTTTGAGCTCTTATTTTTGTTAGTTGTGCTTGGGTTGCTGTATTGGAATACATTGTAAAGTTGCAGATATCAATATTAGGGTGCTAAAGTATTTTGTTTCTCTTAGTTCAAACATTTGTTTTTGGAGAGTTACTATATTCTTTAATTATCAAAATGATGTTGTTTTTGTAGTTATGATCAAACATTTGGTTTGACAAAAATCTTCTTTTCGAATCCTTGACCCGTAGAAAATTAAGAATATGTTTACAATCTATAATGTTGTCTTTTTATCCCTAAGTATGTTTGAGGATTTGGTATTTATAACATGTATTCTATATGTATTCTACTACTCTTTTAGTTCTTCCGGGAGATTTAAAATAAGATGCCTGATTACATTATAAATAGTATCAAGTGTACTAAGCCCCATTTCTCCTCTACCGATGACACCACTATTTGGACCCTTACTTTCACGGGATCCTACTCCTTTAGGAGTGCCTATGAGGAAATCAAACCTAAAAGAGACCTCCATCAAAACATTTTGAACATCTGGAACAAGAATATCCCTACTAAAATCTCTTTCTTTATGTGGAAAGTCATAAACAACTTGCAACCTTTTCAGGAAAAATTATACCTTTTTGGCAATAACGGCACCTTTAAATGTCCCTTTTGCAACAACTTTGATACTAGAGACCACTGTTATACTTCATGTGATCTTAGCAAAAATCTGTGGACCCATTACGGGAACCTTTTGAATATTAGAAACCACTACAGTGAGTCTCTATGATGATACTAATATTTTACTCTCTGAGGCTATTGAGTCTATCAATAGGGAGATTCGGGATGTGAGCAGGGCCAAACCGCTTCTTACCAAAGCTACCGATCCTCCCATTTTTGACATTCAAACTGTCAAACCCAGGGTGAAACCAAAAAAGCCCACCACACGGATTGATAGTTGGGCTAAACCTCCTGCCAACTTCATCAAGATTAATATAGCTATGGGAACCAGGCAGGATGGGAGTAATATTTCTGGCCTGGTCTTCCGTGACAGCCGGGGGGAATTGCTTTACTATAATTCTAACAATCATACTTATCCTGATTACACTGCCATCTTCTGTGAAAGTATGATTAAGTCAAACAATAAGATACAGGACAATAACTATACTAGTATCATTCATGAGAGTGACAACTTACATGTGATCAAGACCCTTCAAGGAACCATGAAGCCTAGGTGGACAACGATTGCAAACCTCTATGCTTTCAAAGAAACCTTTCAATATGTCAATTTCGGTTACTCTTGCATCACTAAATCCTGTAATAGGGCAGCTTATTAGGTTGCGATTAATGCTAATCTTTTTACTAGTAGCCCAAACACTTATAGTAAATTCCAAGGAATTCTCAAATTTGATGCGGTTAGTTACCCGTATGTGATTTAATTCGGTAGGTTTCGGCTTCATGTCCCCCTACCATGTACTTTTCTAATTTTCTAATAAACTGGTAAGGTGTTCCAAAAAAAAATCTACTACTCTTTTAGTACTTAAATTAGGTTTGTGGAAGATGAGTGAATACTAGTTTCATCTTTAGAAGTCTTACACTATATCATTGAACTGCACCAAATCTAGAGTGAAGTCCTACATCAAATATTAATGGTTTTGCCGTATGACATTTGAACTAGTGTTTGCTAACTGTATATATGTCTCCTGATTTATAAAGAGAAGATGTGTTTACTTTGAATTCTTGATTGGGGGTGATAATTTTATACTACCTTCGTCCCAAAATACTTAGCCAAATTCTACACTCCTCTTTATGTTTATGTGGCACAAGCTAGTCCTTTTTGAATTTGACATCTTCTCCTAGATTAATTAACATGGTAACAGAGATAATTAAAGCCTTCAAATCATCCCAATTTTTCTTTTCTTGCACTATGTTTCATAGTGCAAACACTATGCTTTCATAGTGCAAACACTATGCTTTAATTATTCAATGCTTACCAAACTCATGCTATAGTTTTAATTCTTACTACAAGAAAACAATGAACTACAAGATTTCGATTTTCTTAAACTTCGAATGACAGGTGAGACTTTGCTCATAATAACCAAGAAAGTCTCTTAATCCCTGAGATTGTGTAAGATTTAGTGTTTCTTTGATTTTGTTCTTTTGTTTATTTTAGAATTTATCTATTAAAAAGTTGTCAATGAGACTGTCGGTTCTGCATTTTGGGATATTGAATTTATGCTCACTTTGCTTGTTATAGCTTTATTGTTTTGATGCTTTCAAAGATTTTTGTTTTGTTTTGATGCTTTCAGTTGATGTTTTGAACTGTTAATTTAATGAGTTGTTTTTCTTTTGTTTCATTGTTCAATTGATTTGCTATAGGTTTACAAAAAAAAAGGAACACTTGAGCTACTTTTTGATGATCAAGTATTCAAGTCCACTACAAAGGAGCAACATTTATTTTAGATAATAATTGTAAAGTAGTATTATGGTTAGATATATTTGTGGTAGTTTTGTTATGTACACCAAATGTGATGGCTTAAACAGTCAATTTGCTCTTCTTATTTAGCTTTTGATGTAATTTATGATGTTATAATCTTTTGAGTTGGTTTTCAATAAAACCTGATACTTGTATTGATAATGGGACATGGGACGTGTCATTCTTGTAACTAATTCTTCAGTGTAAGTAAGTTATATTTTTAAACTATGTTGTAAGTTAGCTGAAAAGCTGAATTAGTAGTCTTACTCTCATTATGATACATTGTTATATATAACTTGTATTCATTATAATTATTAAATTAATAGAAAATAGATGTAAATCATGAAAGTGTTAAATATCTTACAAAATAGCTACTCCATAAAAGATAATACATGATCTCGGTTGGAACTAAATTTGAATTTTCTTATATACAAGTTATGTTAATATGCCCAAATAAAAATTGTTTGTGTGAAAACAAACTTACCTAAATAATTTTGCTCATACTTTATTCTCTATTATATCTGTGGACAATAGTTGTTTATGAAATTAAGAATCTCGGTTGAATAAATTCACTTGGCAGATTAACTTGTTTCAGTGGTACAATTATTGTTTGTAACTAGACATTTCACATCACGTTCACACACAATTCCAATTAGCACATTTGATTGTTTCAGTGACTATTGCCTGTAGGCAGACATTTTATGTCTAGTTCACAGACAATTTCACTTAGCACATTAGCCCATTCAAGTGGCTATTGTTTGTGGTCAGACACCTCATATCAGGCTCACATGCATTTTTACTTGATACATTAGTTCATTCCAGTGGTCATTGTCTGTAACCAGATACTTCATGTTTGGCTCAGAGACAATTCCACTTAGCACAATAGCTCATTAACACAAAAATAGTCACTAGCATAGGCTAAAGGGCTAATGTGTTTAATCGAATTGTCTGTGAACCGGACATGAACTATCTGGTTATAGACAATATCCATTTGAACGGACTAATGTACTAAGTAAAATTGTTTGCGGACGTGATATGAAATGTCTGATAATAAACAATAGCCACTGATTTAGGCTAATTAACTCATATGGCTAGTAAAATTGTCTATGAACCGGACATGAAATGTCTGGACACAGATGGGGAAAAAGAGAGAAAAGGATTGGTGGGAAGGGGTAAATTAAAGAAAAAGAAAGATAAAAATTAAATTGGCCCTTTATAGTATGTACACTTTGTGTACATGGTATGTACCGCAAGCATTTTCATTTTTTTAATTACAAAATTCATACGAAAACAGCATTTTTTTGGGTAAAAAGTAAAAACACATGCATTTTACTTCGACAGCCTTCCCTCATCTTCCAAACCTCGCGCTAAAAAAATCCCGCCAGGCGTTTCCCGCCAGATAAAGCATCATCTCACTCCACCCCACTTAAACCCTAACACTCGTTTCTTCAGAGGCTGACCAAGCAAAATTACGACAGCTTTCATCCCGGAGTAAGCGACATAGACCTAGAAGGTCGTCGTCGTTTCAAATCGACCATGAAGATCCGATCCATGAAGCTCCGGGAGGCGCACAAAAACAGCAGCGGCGACGCCTCCTTATGCTCAATTCTCTGGGACCAGAGCGGTGAGCATATCGTCACAGCATCTGCTTCCGATTCGTCTATTTGTATTCACGATGCCATTTTCCCGGCGAATCCGCCAAAAGTTCTGAGAAATCACAGAGACGGTGTCACAGCTATTGCTCTTAGCTCTAATTCCACCTGCCTCGCCTCCGGATCTGTTGACCATTCCGTCAAGCTCTACAAATTTCCAAGTATGCTTTTCTAATTTTTTTTGGTGGTAGTGTTCTTTCTGCGCATCATGTAATTAAGAGCTCCTTATTTTTTCATATTCTGTTTTTATGTAGTTCTAGGGCGATATAGCTCAATTAGATACATTTTCCGTCTAACATAAAAGTTGAATTGTATAAAAAATTGTACAAAGCATCATGCTTTTGCATCCAGCCGTTTTCCCTCCATTTTCATAATGACGTATGTGATAGAGGAAATGCAGTTCATCTTGAGTTTCTGTTTGTTTAGATTCATATGTGATCTTCAGCACGTGAGTATGATTCTTAATTCTTAGTACTCCTCCCTCCTTGAATTATCTTTCAACTTTGCTTTTTCTTCCGTTCCAAAATAATTTCTTTATCCTTTTTGACAAAGAATTTGTGGTTCCCTGCATTTCTTACACATTCTTACATAATTCTCTCTCCTCTACACAACTCTATGTCACACAATTCTCACTTTCTTAATCCCCGTGCAAAACCCCATTTGGGAATATTTATATTGGGATTCGAATAATACCCAATGGAGGTAATGGTTCTTATTAACTGTAATGTTAATAATTTATATTTACTTCGAGTAATAGTTATATTGGCATTCATGAAGAAGTGCTCAGTTCTAGATTTTCCAACGTTTTGAAGGAAATATAATATGGAGTAACTGAGTAAGAAATATATTAATCAGTATTTGATACATCATTTCCCCTCCGCCTTATTATCTTTGTCCCATTTTCCCCTTTTTGTACCATATTTGGTAATACATGTGTGATTCAAATTCATTCTCACTTTATTCACACTTTCAATTCAATACCAATTACCAAACTCTACTTTTCTTAATAACCGCACCGCCTCTCCTATACCAATCACAGAGGGATGGAGGTAGTACTAAGTATATCCTTTTATTGTTTACGAAATAAAGATTAAAAACATGAAAGTGTATGATTGCTTGAACATGAAGCCATGAAGGTACCTAGATTCACAGTAGGTTTTATAACGTGTAGAAGTCTGATGGATTTGAAGGTGAAAATTTGAATGGCTGAAGTATGTGTTTCTTCTTCCATAAATCATCTTTTGTTCAAACTTCTAGGCTTCCTATTTTCCTATTTACTGCTGATCTACATGTAATTATTATGTGATTTGGAGTATCATACTTAATTGACTTGAAGTGTAGCCTTTAACATGTGATAAAGATGCCAATATCTTTATTTTGTGTGAGTTGCATTGTATCTTTCTGGATTTGATCATTGAAGCAACTTATTCACGCGTTCTGTTAGCTCACTTAACTTCATATATTTTTGTGGCTAATTTGATTAGTTCTCTATGTCTCTATATAAATATATCCGCTAGGTGGAGATTTTGAAACAAATATTACTAGATTTACATTGCCAATAAGAGCACTTGCTTTCAATAAGTCGGGCACTATGTTAGCAGCTGCCGGTGATGATGAGGGCATTAAACTAATAAATACTATCGATGGTTCGGTTGCAAGAGTACTTAAAGCGCATCGAGGCTCTATCACTGGTATAGCTTTTGATCCCAAAAGTGAATATCTCGCCTCAATTGATTCGGTAGGGACTGTCATACAATGGGAGCTCCAATCAGGAAGAATTATTCATACCCTAAAAAACATAGCTCCCCCCACAGGTTTGGACCATGCTTTCATGAATACGCTTAGCTGGAGTCCTGACGGGGAGCTACTAGCTGCCCCTGGTTTGAAGAATGATGTAGTGATGTATGATAGAGACACTGCTGAAAGTCTGTTTTCGTTACGTGGTGATCATGTCCAGCCTATTTGCTTTATATCATGGTCACCTAATGGAAAGTACATGGCTACTTCTGGTTTAGATAGACAGGTTTTGGTATGGGATATAGATAAGAAACTAGATATTGATAGACAGAAGTTTGACAATATGATATGTTGTATGGCATGGAAGCCACAGGGAAATACTCTAGCAGTTGTTGATGCTATGGGGAAATTTGGTTTGTGGGAATCTGCTGTTCCTTCATCTATGAAATCGCCCACTGAAGATATACCTAGCATGGGATCAAAGGGCAGTAATGGATTACTTCTATTTGACGATGAAGAACAGTGTAGTGCATCTGGTAGTTTGAGTGCTCTTGGGGAAGATAGTTATGGTGAATCTGATCACTTGCCTAGCCGAAAAAGGATACGCAAACAGTCTGTTTGTGGCGATGAGTGCAAAGATGATAATGAGTTGGACTTATTTCCAAAACTCGAATCTCGTAAAAAGCCTGATCATGGTCACCAAGTAAGCTCAGATAGGAAGAAAGCTGAATTGAAAAGCACTGCTGTATCAGCAGGTCCGAAAATGCAAGAAGCTTTTCAACCAGGGGCAACTCCTGTACAGCCTGGAAGGAGGCGCTTTCTTTGTTATAGTATGCTCGGGAGTATAACCACTATGGAGCATGATGGATATTCTCATATAGAGGTACATGAAATATTATTGATTATCAAAACTGAGTACTCAAGATGTATAAATGGCCTTAAAGTTGAATTGAAATTACTGTAATTTGACTGCTTGCAATGTAGGTATAGTCATATTTGTGCATCAATTACTTGAATGCAGATTGATTTTCACGATACAAGTAGTGGTCCTCGAGTTCCAGCTATGACTGATTACTTTGGCTTTACCATGTCTTCATTAAATGAAAATGGAAGTGTATATGCAAATCCATGCAAGGGTGAGAAGAATATGAGCACACTCATGTATCGCCCATTCAGTAGCTGGGCTAATAACAGTGAGGTAAGTCCTACTCATAATGCCCTGTAGTGGTAATTGCCTTTAATGTAAGCATGGAAAAATGAATGCTTAAAGGTTTATCATACTGTATAGGTGCTTCATTATATTTTTTGTAGCAGTAAACATTTAATATATTTGTACCGAATTTGTCCAAATTTAAGTGGTCCATGAGATTTGAAGAGGAAGAAGTCAAGGCTGTGGCACTTGGAAATGCATGGGTGGCCGCCATTACAAGTCTTAATTTTCTTCGCGTCTTTTCTGAGGGCGGCTTGCAGGTTATTCATTAAATTGAGAAAGGGTTGTAAATTATAGTTTCTGATTATGTAATATTCTTATATTGTGATATATACTCAAAGTTTAACTAAACAAAAATCTCCTTTCTTGGATTTAAATCAGAGATATATACTTTCTCTTGATGGACCGGTGGTCACTGCAGCAGGATGCAAAGATGAACTAGCAGTTGTTACACACGTGTCTCCTTCTCTACACTCTAATGAGCAGGTTGAATAAGACTCCTTCTCTACCCTCTTATAATATCCTTAATAGATTGATGATTGATCAGTCTAAAAGTGATTTTATTTTGAGCAGGTTCTTGAATTTCGGGTTTTCAATATTCACAATGCTACACAACCTCTACGAGGACGACTACCTTTGACTCCAGGTTCCTGTTTAACATGGTTTGGGTTTAGTGAGGAAGGCCAGCTAAGCTCTTTCGATTCCAAGGTGCATATACTACTCTACCATAAAACGTATATTCGATGGAAGTTTAAATTGTAAAATTATCATTTGATTGTAATCAAACGTGTAGGGTGTGTTGAGAGTCTTCACAAATCAGTATGGAGGTAGCTGGTTTCCTCTCTTCAGGTACTATGAACATGCTTCAAGTTATGAGCACTTTGATATATATTCGCAAATGTTTTTTTTCAAAAAGGAATTTCTTTTGACAATTTTTTTTGGGACATTCAGTGCCAGTAAATTGAAGAAGCTGGAAGAGAAATATTGGGTTGTTGGATTAAATAAAAGCAAGTTATTTTGTGTTATATGCAAGTCCCCTGATTCTTTCCCTCAGGTAAGGTTGTCAGTTTTCATGAATTTTCTGTAGTTATAATGCTTGTCTTTTGAAGCTTTTATTTTTGATTGATTCTCCAGGCCACTCCCAAACCTGTTCTCACTCTATTAGATCTTTCCTTTCCTCTTGCTTCCTCTGATCTTGGAGCAGATAATCTGGAGAACGAATTCATATTGATTAATATGCATTTATGCAGGGTACATCATTCATAACCTTTTTTATTTTCTGATTCATGCCTTCGTAAGTTTGTAGATACTGGAGTAGCGCTTTTTCCTATTATAGTTTTCAATGGAAAGTCCATTATGAATTGTAAATATCATATTACAGGTTCAGAAAGAAATTGAGAAAATGTTAGCTAATGGTCAGGACACCACCTTGCTTGATGATGAGGCATTCAACCTCGATACTGCTCTTGATCGATGCATCTTAAGGCTCATCGCATCGTGTTGCAATGGTATTTTTTGTTGCAGATGTAGATTTTGAGACAATTACGTTTTCATGGTTCAAGGGTAGGTTGATAACTAAAATCAGGACATGTTTGTTTTTCTCTCTCAAAGGTGACAAGCTGGTGAGAGCAACTGAGCTTGTAAAACTTCTTTCAATGGAAAAATCAGTGAAGGGTGCAATAAAGCTTGTTACAGCCTTGAAGCTACCGAACTTGGCAGAGAGATTCAGCTCCATATTGGAGGTAACCAACCATTCACAACTCTATGATATGCAAAAGAGAAGTAGATAAACCCAACCACACTTAAGTATCAGTTTCTGTACTCGTGGTTTAGCACAAGCTAATGTTGTTGTCAAAGGTGCTAGACACTAGACAGTGCTGGGATGCTTAGAGTCTTTCCAAGGCCAGAGACCAATACAAATATATTGTCAGTATCCGTATAAACAACCTTTCCCGTGTGGGCGGCTATAACAAGAGACCCTGAATCGAGAGCTGCGTGTTATCCCTACCTTCGGTAGCTTACGAGTTTACGTCCATCTCTGGTCGGGTACAGTTTCCTTTCGATTTATCCCTTGTAGCCGTTACCCGAATTCGCGCAAGTGTGTCCACACCCCCCAAAATTGATGAGAAAGATTTTCTCGCTAACAAACACAACCCCTACACACACCTAGGAGCACCCCTTCCTGCATATCCATACAAGACCTGAGTAGGCGGTCTTAAACTTTAGCTGGAGAAGCATTTGCATAACCACCCATTGTTTAAAAAAGTAAGCCACATTTTTTCGAAGTCCTATGTAATTTTCTCTTATAATCTGGATATGTTATTTTGGAGTCAATTTGATTGGACACATAGGTATAGTTCATTTACTGTCAGCATCTAATTTAATCTTAAAAAATATATATTTCAAATACAAGCAGGTGTAGCATACAATGTCGTAATTTTTTCTTTGTGAACTGTAGGACATTTACCTGTATGAATACTAGTAAATCATTTATGGATTCACACGATTCAATTTTATTCTTTGTACTCAAATACTCAACATGAAAGGTTTGGATGCATAGGATGTTTGGTAAGCCGGTTTTCAATAAATCCCGATAGAGAACACTGAAAAGTGCTTATAAGGCTGCTTGGATATTTGGTGTACACCAAAGACTATGGTTTACATTTTCAAAAATATCCAGCCGTGCTAGAGGGATATACCGATGCAAATTGGATATCCGATTCCAAGGACACAAAATCAACGAGTGGATATGTGTTCACCCTTGGAAGTGGTGTTGTGTCATGTCATACCTTACTTGAACGTATCAAGATATAGAGATCATTAAAAGCGTAACTTACCCTAAATGCTCATGACATGTGTACTATATCTTGGCTAGTAACGCAAACATTGGATCAAAGAATCACTCCATAAATTGTACAAAGAACGAGAGTCAGAAAAAATTGGATCAATATCAGCAAACAGAACATAATTATCTTTAACCTAGTAAAGAATCAATCTATGGTTAAGATACGCCCAAACCACCCGACTCAAGTCTTATAGCGACATTTTTTCCCATGTTCACATTGATTTCGTGAATAATGTATTAAAGTATGTGTTTTTCGTTTTAAAGGTTCGATTTCTAGTCTCATAGTATTACATTTTTCTCTTTTCTTTTTAATCCTCTGCTATGCTGATAGACTCAAGTTCATCTATATAATAAGCCACCTTATTTTTTGCATACAGCCTCCCAATTCTTAAAGCTGACTATGATGACAGTCAAATGGTAGGTTGTGTGTGACCTGGTATGTAGGTGGGGATTATACGGAGTTACTCAGGGACTTGGTGGAATTAGGCAGCACCCAAATGAGAATAAAATTTAGGTAACTTAGGATAGCCTCGTGCCTAATTAGGGCAAGGCATTTTTTTTTAATCTAGTTGAAGCATGAATCCTCCCTCATCTATAATGAATGAAAACTCTTAAAAAAGAATGTTTTCTCATTTCAAAAGACAGGCACTGAACCTCTCTTGCAATAAGATTCCATTTAAAAGTATAATGTTTCTAGTTTAGCATTTCTTACGCTTCCATATCTGTGAAATACAAGTTCTCAATCAACGTCCATTGTTATAGGAACGTTTGAGAAATGAAGCAGTGGCGGAAGCTGCTCTTGCTCAGCCAAACACAAACATTTCCCTACGTGCAAATGCTGTTTCTAGCATTTGTCAAACTACACCAGAAAGCAGCAGTAAAGCAACACCCATCTTATATACTCCTTCCTCAACAAAGAAGGCTTTGGAGGACAATCCAGCCAATGATATAAACACGAAAACTGAACAAGCCCAAGCCACTCCATTGCGAAAGGCGGGCGAAGTGAGTCTCAGCAGCTCAGGACTAAAGAGCCATAAGAAAGCAAACGGTGGAGAAAAGATGGATGACATAACTTTTTTAGGAGACTCCAAGATTGGCAAATATGAAGGAGACAAAAAGGCCATTCGCCCTTCCAACCCTTTTGCGAAGTCATCAAAAAATCAACAAACTCCGTCCTTGCTTGAGTCTCTCAAGAAGATGAGTGGTGAGAGCAATAGCAAAAAGTAAAGCTGTGCAAGTACCATTCATCCAAGAGCCTCTCGTCTTTTTTCATGTTTGTTTATCCCCAGATTTCACCACCGGTACACAAATCAATTGTCACACAATCTATGTAATTATGCTTCAAGTTATTCCATTATGTACATTAGCAAGTTTTTAGTAACAGTAATGAAAGATTTATCAAAATGGGCTAAAAAACGTTGAAATTGTTATAATGCCTAGTTGGAAAAAGGTTGAAACATCAAAATGACCAAAAATCAAAGCAACTTTTGGCACTTGGAAATATCCAGGATGGAATGAATAGGAGTGTGACTGTGTGAGTATGAATTGAGGTAGTTTGAGCTAGATTGGTGCCAAAGGTCAAAAGCCTCAATACGAACAAAAAATGACTGACCCAAAGTAATTTAGGTAAGAGTGTGGTTATGAATATGAATTTGATAATTCCAGTCTTCGTATTGGATTGGGTGCTAAAGACCAAAGCCCTATCTTGAACCAAAAACATTCAAGACGTAGTAGTAGATTAAAGTAAGAGTCTGATATGAATTGTGAAATTAATGATTCCAAAAGCCCCGACTTGATCGAGAAATGACTAAAGAAACAATAATCATTGTGGTGGGACTGTGGGAGTGAATAAGAAAAGTGAAAGTGGTAATTCCAATCATATAGCAGGAGTTCTATTGCACATTTGCACTCATTTGAAAATTTTGAATCAGAATTGATACAAAGACTAGAATACTCAATTTAACTAATAGGAAAAAATATAGATCAAATACAACCTCAGATCCAATGGTAAACGTGAACATGAATATGAATTACTGAATTAAGGTTTCCAATATTATTTTTGTCATATAATGACTATTAGCATTCTCGTTTGAACCGAGTTGAATCCAGAATATCAAAATCCCCACTTTGAATCACAAAATAGATTTGGGACCTAATAATCAATTAAACCAAGATAATATGTCTGATTTATGATATTGAAGATTCTAATAATATTCTTACTTAGTCTTACAATGACTGTTTTTATTACAACTAAATAATGAATAATGAAGATAAATTAGAAACGTGTTGGTCTTTATACTCTCGTATAGTACAGAGTAAAATTCTAAGATTAAATTAAATTTGGGTCTAAAAAGGGAACAACTTAGCCTCCATTACAATATATTAGAGATGCTTTAAGCGATGTGCTTAGCTTTTTATGTTGTAAAAACCATATGCCGGGTACAACCAATGACTCGGCTCATAAATACTTGGTCAGCCCACACGTGACGTGTTTCAAAGTTGACGCTGTTTAAGATTCATATATTTTTTGTATCATTGTATCTAATTTAGTTTATCGATATTTAATTTAACATGACCCTAAAAAATTGAGTAGTACACTGCACAAGTACGTGTTGCACAAAATATGATACAATGAGTTTCAGTTCACATTAAAAAAATCATAACTTAGAACTAGTAGTCACAAGTTGTGATGTAATACGAGTAGTGAACTACGGAGTAATAGTCATGGTTCGAATCGGACAAGATAATAATTTAATCTCCTCAATAATACTACCTCCGTCCCCCTAAGTTTGGGGCAAGAGAAAGTGACACAGTTATTAATAAAAGTGGGTTTATGTCGTTGGTATTGAATTGATAAAGTAAGAATAGAGTAAGAATGATTTAGAACCACACAAACTTTACCAAATAAGGTATGAGACAATCTTAGTGGGACAGACCGAAATAGTAAAACTCTCCAACATTAATATATAGATAGATTAAAGGCATAATTAATATTCAAGGAAGATTATTAAAGATAATAACTCGCAACTTACAATTCATTAAGCTTCAAAGTAGCACAACCAAGATGGAAGAGTTTAGCTCCTCATTTGGAGACTAAACATACTAGAAAATATAAAGGAAATACTTGTCTAAACTGAGCTTAGAAGTATATGAGAATTTGTGATTTTAATGTGAAGGAAAAGGAGTGTATTTATAGCAAAATGGAGGTGGCACGGTGCTGTACTCGATCCAGTATATGGGATACTGGATCTAGTATTGGAGGTAGTTTCCAGGAAATTGCGAAATACAGGCATACTAGGTCGAGTATTGCCAATACTGGATCGAGTATGAGACAGTATTTTCATCAAATATTCAGCCACATTCTTTTGCTCCCAGATTTGATTTTGACCAGCGTATCTGGTCAATACTCGATAGAGTATTGGCAATACTCGACCGAGTATTGGCAATACTCGACCGAGTATTGAACAAATTTCAAGATCTTCATTTGATCTTCTCCCTTTTGCACATTCTTTGGTCTTTAGGATCCATCCTTTGATTCTTGGGATGCTTTTGACTTGTCCTAAACTCAGAATAATCCTAATCTAAATAAATTACAAATAATTAACGAAAATAAAGTATTACACCGAAAGTGTGTAATTTCCACAACTACAACTAATAAAACTAGTTAAAAATACAAACATACATAATAGGGAATTCACACCATCACTTTGCGGTCAAGGAGATTTTAGCCTCTTATTCGGTGTTTTCAGAGCAATTGATTAACAGAAATAACGAAAATAGCCTCTTATTATTTGCTAGTCTGACGTCAATGGTAGGGAGCAACAAAAAAATCTTTGGTTACATAACAAAAAAGGTTATTAAGAAGATCTAAAGCTGGAATTGCATATTTTTATCCAGGACAGGTTGAGAAATTTTTATTAAGACAATGATTCAAGTCATGCCTCGGTATGCAATGAATGCCTTTTTTTACAACCAACTTACCTGTGTAATGAAATAGAGAAAGTAATGAATGTTTTCCGGTGGAGAGGTGGTTAGATCTTTGTCTGAGCGTGTCAGTAAAAATGAAGGGGGTGTGGGATTCAAGAGATTTTAAAATTTCCATGCTGGGGTAAGCAAGTATGCAAATAAGGGTCGCTACTTTTCTCATAGCGATATTCTGGATACTAAATGTATGAGTAATTCTTCTCGCATTTGGCGGAGTATCATCAAGGCTATACATGTAATTTGAGAAGGAATAAGTTTATAATTGGGAATGGTGAGACTACTCGGCTATGAAAGGGTAAGTGATTAATCACACAACATGGTGGCAGACTAGCAAATAAGTGGGAGTCAGTGGGACGATGACATTATAGCGGACTTGTTAGGTAACGATGATGCAAAGATCAGTTTAGGTATTCCTTTACGAGGAGGAAGAGGAGAGGATGAGTAGCTTTGGGCAGGTAATGATAAGCTATATATTCGGATATGAGCTACTCCCTCCGTCCCAAAATGGTTGGCCAAATTTCCTTTTTTGGCCGTCCCAAAAAGGTTGGCCATTTCCATTTAAAGTAAGGAATATGTGGCAAAAGTTAATTCTCTCTCCTCTGCACAAATTTCAACCACACAGTTTTTACTTTATTAATCCACGTGCAAGTCAACATTGGCCAACCATTTTGAGACGGAGGGAGTATTACTGAATGCTGACTAGATGCGACTAACTTGAGGTAACATGTGCTAACATATGGAAGCTTGCACTACCGCCCCTTAGGTTAAAAAAAATTTGACAGACTTTTGTGGATTGTCTTCATACTAAACAACGGTTCATGCAGAGGAGAGTTCTAGTTCGGCCAAATTGCTCTCATTGTGAGTATAATGAGGAGAATATTATGCATGTGTTGAGGGTCTACTCTTTGGTCAAGGAGGGTTGGCGAAATTTGGACATGAGCTTTATTTATCCTATATCTCTCAATTTTAGGGACGAGTAAATAATAGGGAAAAGGTGCAAATAGGCCCATGTACTAACAAAAAAAGGTCAAATAAGCCCTTGTTTAGGAGGCTCTGTCCGGCCGTCGTCATTTGGGGTGGTTCCAGTTGGAACTTTTTGATGAAATTTTTTGAGCATCTTATTCATCAAGTCTAGTTTACTCATACCAAATTTCAGCTAAAAATTCAATCGGGAAGGCATTCAAATGAATTCTTGAAGATAACTGCGCTTCTAACTGCGCAATTATTTTCAAGAATTCATTTGTATGCCTTCCCGATTGAAGTTTTAGCTGAAATTTGGTATGAGTAAACTAGACTTGATGAATAAGATTGTTCAAAATCTTTCATCAAAAAATTCCACCGGGAACCACCCCAAATGACGACGGCCGGACAGAGTCTCCTAAATAAGGGCTTATTTAATCTTTTTCTTTTTGTTATTTCTTGTTGGAGTCTGGAAGGCAGTGAATAAAATAGTTTACTCATACCAAACATATGTACATCTTCGAAACACAGAACGTACATATGTACATATATACAATTATTTATGGTATTAATCCATAGAATTAAAAAAAAAAAATCATTTTCCTTTCCACAATTCCACCCTATTTCCAACCTTCGAAACACAGAACGTACAAACAAATTCGGTTGTTGGCTTGTTGCTCATGACTGAGACAAGCACCGCCTGAAAGGTCGGAACCACCAAACATCCATTTTCAGGAAAGAAAGAAAAAGCGAGCACCTCGCTTCCCTTTCTTTCGCCCCCCCTCAACCACACCAATGGCCGACGTCTCCATTTCACTCCTCAATGACGAGAACGACGACTTCCGCCAAAACGACGACATCGACTCTCTCCCTTACTGGTGTCACGATTTCGACGATACCTTCGACGCCTTCTCCTCTACAGATCTCTCCAATTTCCATTCCTCCGACCTCCCCCAGATCTCCACTTCAGTGAGGCGGCGTCAAACGGGGCAATCGTTGGACGGAGACGCTTTCGAGGGAGAATGCATCGACTTCTTCGACCGCGATAACCAGGTCAATTTCGTCATGGACCTCTTCCACCAACGCGTCGAACAATCTCAGTCGCCTTTGCAGGTTATAATGGACCCTCATCTGATGAACGCCGATCCAGCGGGATTCGGGGTCATCTATGAGGACGAAGTAGGAACGGGCTCCGCCCAATTAGAGGTGGATCGAGGACGGGGATTAGGTCTTCAAAGTGGAGACCTAACCACCAGAAATTGTGAGAATTCAACCTTAGATTTGGATAATTGTGACGACGAGCTCCACTTTATCAGTGGGCTGAGAGTTATTGATCTAGGCTCGGACTCTGAATCCGATGGAAATCCAATTTCAGGGCTGAATTTCAACCCAGAGGACGTCGGCGATGGTATTGATGGCCCAGTTATGTACGAAAGTGAGAGTGATGATCCAAGCCTGCGCCTTTGCTGGGAATCATTTCA